TTTTACCTTTTTAAAAGATTTTATTGATTATATATAATATTTTAATGTAAAATATTACAATGAAGATGTTATGTTATCCTCATTTTTACTTGACTAAGGGCTTCTTCTTTACCTTCTCATTGGTAAATCCATGACTAGTAATTATTGAGAAATATTGAATTTGCAATGTTTTATTCTACTCAAAAGCTCTAAACCCAGACATAGGTGATGATTTAGGTCATCAGTCAATGATGGGAACCTGAAAGGCAAAGAATGTGGAAGTAGAAACAAAGAGTCCTCAAGGAGGAAAGAAAGAGGAAGCAGGGTTTCAAAGGCTTCAAAGGCAAAAAAAAAAAAAAAAAAAAAAGATAAATATGATAGAAATAGAAAACTAGTTAATTCAACAATGGTGTCAGGCACCATCCTGGTATTGGGGATAGGGCAGTAATAGTTACATTGCAGGGAACAAAATAAAGGAAAATCCCTAGTGGCATTAATTCTAGGGGAAATGGAATTTACTGTGTGGTAGGCACTGTTCCAGGGACTTTACATATGTTAATTCAATCCCAACAACAATCCTAAGGGCTTGGTGCTATTCTTACCCCACTTTTTGGGGAAGTAAAGGAAGGCAAAGAAAGGGTATGTTGCTAAAGTCCCACAACTAATACATGGCAGGGTCCAAGGAGGTAACTCCACCACTCACACTCCTCTGCAACACATTAGAAAGTAAGGAAGGAGCTGCATAAAAGCAAAAACAAATAAACAAAAAACAAAAAACAAAAAACGGGGAGAAAGTGCAGAGAACAGAAGAGACACAAAGCATTGTCAGAGGAAAGGATAGCTATCAGGAGTATTAAACTGAAAGAGAGCTGGGCCCTGGTTTTCACAGTCAGTTGAGGCTGGTTTCAGCTCAGGTCATGATCGCAGGATCCTGAGATCCAGCCCTGCATCAGACTCCATGCTCACTGTGGAATCTGCTTGCAACTCTCTCTCCCTCTCCTGCTGTGTCCTCCCATCCTGCACACTCTCTAAAATAAACAAACCCTTAAAAATAAACAAGTAAAATTGAATTTAAAGAACTGAAGGAGGCCTAATTTCCATGCCCTTAATGAATATTCAGTATTGAAAATAAGAACTTAAGACTGTTCTTAATACAAGAGCTGAGGAAAAGGGCAGAGTAGAACTAGGTGGTGGGTGTATTGATGACCAACTCAACCTACTTTACCGCTCTACCCAAGCCTTGCCCTTGAGAAGTGAATTATGAAGTATGTGTAACAGAAAAAGAGAGATTATTACTAACAGTTGCTTTGAGTTCGTTGAACATTCCAGATCAACTTGTTTGCAGACTTGCTAAGCAAGACTTGGTATTTTCTACCCACTCATTGCTTTGTTGATATAATGTAGCACATTATAACAGCTAGATATTTGGGAAATGAATTCTTTCTGGATGCAAAATATTGAGG